CTTTTTGAGAGCTCCGCTGGTTTCGAAGTGCCGGCGGGCTTGGGCATCCCCGGAGGGGAATTCCTCACCGTGACCGTAAGACCAGTCCGCCCACCGCTAGAAGGACGCCCCCGGCTGCCACCAGAGGGAACCCCAGATCTAGGCAGTGGCACGGGCACTCCGCCCCTTTGCAGGTAACGGAGTCTGGTCCGCAACTCCGAGATGGTCATACCCCCGCCATGGGAGCATGAGCCATCCACGAAAGCCACCTCAGCGTGCTTCATGCCCAGGCACGAGAGGCAGCGATCGTGACCATCACCCAGCGCCAGGTAACGACCGCATCCAGAACGCCCGGGTGATACGTTGTCTATAGCAAGACCCACATCGTCTTTATAAAGACGTAACGTCAAGTTTGCCAAGCAACGTCGTCTTTAGAAAGACGCACCCGAATTTGCTCTTTTAGGGGAAAAAGCTCTTTTAGCGTGCTGGGCGCACAGGGGAGATGATCATTTGCAACACAATCAGGGGGTAGTGCGGCCTGATGTGTGCAACCCACTCGACACGGGAAACCACCACCGCTGAAGCGCCGTCCTCCAACACGAAGAGCTCTCCAAGAGCGTGCTGAACTCGTTCAGTCTTCTCTCCGTAGAGTAGTCAGGAGCGGAACGATGTGATCGCTCGGCTCCGAAGCGAAAAGCTGAATATGCGCTGCACCTGCTGCCTACTTATACTCACGCTGTGATCAGCAGCAGCTGGATGCAATAATCGCATGCCAATGTGCATTGGCTCGTTTAGTTTACACTCGAAGTAGATTGGTCCCTCTAAGCGAGATCCCAATTTCGTCGGTCCTCCGACGTGACGTCGAGAGTGACCGACTGAAAGGGAACAGAAGGACAAACTCTATTTCAAACTCTTAGTGAAATACACAAAGGTGACGCTCAAGGTTAGACCTGACATTGGTCATAAAAACAGACCTGCTTTACTCTAGTTTAAATGCATTCATTTCTGACCCACGATTGGCAGAACATATTCTGGGATCAATATAATAAAGGATAATTCCTTTGCACATACGGCGTACTAACCCTTATGGAAGGTGTCAGGTGTCCACACTGTGTTTAATTAGCATGCTGATCTCACTGAAGTGGATGAATATTTAACGATGAGCAGTGAACCGCTGACCGCTGGGCTCAAGACTCATTATATACATCACTTGAAAGAGTGCATGCAGTTAAAGAAAACTTCCTCTCATCACTCATCTCTAGCTAGAACATTCTGTGAACACGTAAAACAAACCAAGCAGGAGAAATCTGGCACAGTTTACAATGCACAAAAAAAATAAATAAATAAATAAAATAAAATAACCCACACACAATCACAGAAAACTAAAAGTACCACATGGTACATTATGACCAGTGCTCTATTTCCTGTGCATTTATTTGT